GTTCGTTCAACAACAAATAGGGTTTCAATGTGATATTTGCCATTAAAACGAAAAGCGACTGCCAACAATCAATGTGGACATTATTTTAATTCCATGGGTTTTTGTGTGATTTGTTTACAAATGGAATCATTTCATTCGGTACTTCTTTTGATTCGGCTCAGACGGACAATTTGCACCGATTTATTTGTTTGGCCAAATGTGTTTTGGTGTGCGTTGATTTGATTGTGACGTATGTGTGAGAGTTTGTGTATTTTGTGGCAATATTTGTCACGAAACAAATCGTAAAAATGTTTGCCAGTGATTAAATGCTCTCGAGCAATAATAAGGTTGTCCGAATGAATTCGATCCACAAGCAATTCTTCGGCATTAATAGCTGTTTTTCAAATGTCAAATTTTTGCTTTTTCCATCCACACCAAATCAAGGCGTTCCAATTTCGTAGCGAAATCTAATTGAATGTCGTGAATGTTTGTGTATTTTCAGTGACGATGAGTGGAAATTGGCAACAGACGATAGACAAATATTGCATCAACATCCAATATGAAGCGGAAGCGACGCTACGATTGGTCCACAATGCATTTCAATGCAGCGAAATGTCATTTGGCGATAATTTCAAGGAATACTTCTTTCAAGCATCGATTGAACGGTGAGGAAACTTTATTTTCTCAACTTTTGGTTGTTTCGTTTATGTTATGTTCAACGCCAATCTAAATAATTGTGTCCATGTTGTTATTTTCACAGGATCACCAAAGCGTACGAAGTATTCCTGAATAAAGCCAAGTTGGAAAAGCAGTTCGTTGAAGTTTCCGGCCAAAATGCTCCGCCAAATTACAATTTGGAGACAAACAAGACGACCACGGTTGCAAGCGGTGAAACTGTGATCAACGGATCGTGTAGCTGTCATCTTCCAGAGCTTGGAACTGCTCATTCGACGTACGAAATAGCACACGGCAATGGAATAGGAGATGGGAGCGCTATTTGTGTAACAATCATCATATCGAATCAGCCAGCGATCGATCCAAAGACAAGCCAAGAGGTCAATGTACTCGTCAATCGCACGGAATCGAATGGGGCCCTGGATAAGACAGAATCAATGCCAACCACAACGAACGGAATTGACGTGAGTGAAGAAAATAATGGAAATGACGCATCGAACAAAGGAACAACGAGCAATTCAATGACGACAGACGAAGCAATTCCAGCCAACGGTGAATTGAACGAAATTAACGCAATGGATGCTCAAGAAGGCGAACCGATTCACGTCGATCTACCAAATGATACGACCGATAACAACATCGATTTGATTGCTGACAATACCGTGAAACCGTCAGAAAACAATGGAAACGAAGCCCAGGAAGTGACTACGAATCAACCAGCGACTGAACCGATTGACGAAGTGAAGAACCAAGAGATGAATGAAGTGACCGATCGTTCAAGTTGAAGTAATTCATATTAATATAGAGAACGATACGATTGTTGGTGATTTGACTCATGAAACTGCCGCAGCATCTCTGGAAAAAATTAGCAAGCAAATCAACCAACGAATCAAGACAACGAATCAACGGCGAAAGAGAAAAATTGCAGACGCATCGACATCGAATGGCAATTCAAAGAAGAGACGGAAGACTGCGCGACGTTCGACACTGAAAACCATTCCAGAATCGACTTCAGGTGGGAGTTTCGATTGAAGTACGTGTCGAGATGTCAGTTTATTTAATCAAGAACTTTGTTATTTTCACACAGAATCACCATTGATTGATCTGACATTCGATGATGCAGAGAGGTCTCAACAGTCAAACAACGTGGATACTCAATTGAGTGAACAAAGTGAAACCAATTCAAATGGTGCTGATCAACAGAATGAATCGACATCGAAAGGGAAATCCAGAACAAAATGTGAGTTTTGTAATTATGTATCATGGCCATCACATCTGATAATACACAGACGCATCCACACTGGCGAGAAACCATTTCAATGCAAGATTTGTGCGAAAGGATTTACTCAAAAGGCGCATCTGAAAGGGCACATGATAACTCACGCAAATCAGTTCCCGTTCCATTGCTCGATTTGTCGACAAGGATTCCAGGTGAAACGGGCAAAGGAGATGCACGAGAAGAAATGCAATCCACGGCGATTTGAATGTTACTTGTGCAAATATGATACATTAAACAAAATAAACATAGTCCGACATATGCGCATTCATACCGGTGAATTGCCTTTTAAATGCAACATTTGTGCGAAAGGATTTACTATGAAGCAAAATCTGAAAAGTCACATGAAATCTCACGCAAAACAATTCCCATTCCATTGCTCGATTCGTCGACAAGGATTCACAGTGAAGCGGACAAAGGAGACGCACGAGAAAAACTGCAATCCACGTCGGTATGAATGTTACTTGTGCAAATATGCTACATTCAACAAAACACACTTAGTTGATCATATGTGCATTCATACCGGAGCCAGATCATTCCGATGTTCTCATTGTGCGAAACGATTCGCCAAAAAATCTGATTTAGAATCAAGTTCAAGAAATTTTCACTGTTGAAGAACGGCTGGAGATTGAAACCAATTCAAATGGC